AAGAAGAAGAAGAAGAAGAAGAAGAAGAAGAAGAAGAAGAAGAAGAAGAAGAAGAAGAAGAAGAAGAAGAAGAAGAAGAAGAAGAAGAAGAAGAAGAAGAAGAAGAAGAAGAAGAAGAAGAAGAAGAAGAAGAAGAAGAAGAAGAAGAAGAAGAAGAAGAAGAAGAAGAAGAAGAAGAAGAAGAAGAAGAAGAAGAAGAAGAAGAAGAAGAAGAAGAAGAAGAAGAAGAAGAAGAAGAAGAAGAAGAAGAAGAAGAAGAAGAAGAAGAAGAAGAAGAAGAAGAAGAAGAAGAAGAAGAAGAAGAAGAAGAAGAAGAAGAAGAAGAAGAAGAAGAAGAAGAAGAAGAAGAAGAAGAAGAAGAAGAAGAAGAAGAAGAAGAAGAAGAAGAAGAAGAAGAAGAAGAAGAAGAAGAAGAAGAAGAAGAAGAAGAAGAAGAAGAAGAAGAAGAAGAAGAAGAAGAAGAAGAAGAAGAAGAAGAAGAAGAAGAAGAAGAAGAAGAAGAAGAAGAAGAAGAAGAAGAAGAAGAAGAAGAAGAAGAAGAAGAAGAAGAAGAAGAAGAAGAAGAAGAAGAAGAAGAAGAAGAAGAAGAAGAAGAAGAAGAAGAAGAAGAAGAAGAAGAAGAAGAAGAAGAAGAAGAAGAAGAAGAAGAAGAAGAAGAAGAAGAAGAAGAAGAAGAAGAAGAAGAAGAAGAAGAAGAAGAAGAAGAAGAAGAAGAAGAAGAAGAAGAAGAAGAAGAAGAAGAAGAAGAAGAAGAAGAAGAAGAAGAAGAAGAAGAAGAAGAAGAAGAAGAAGAAGAAGAAGAAGAAGAAGAAGAAGAAGAAGAAGAAGAAGAAGAAGAAGAAGAAGAAGAAGAAGAAGAAGAAGAAGAAGAAGAAGAAGAAGAAGAAGAAGAAGAAGAAGAAGAAGAAGAAGGCATTAATAATAATATGCGTGAATTTTTCAGTCTATCGAAAGGCATGATTCACAAAGTCCCTCTGCCGGAAGCCAGAGGTAAACGTTGTTTTGAAACACTGGGATGGTTGGTAACCATAACAAAAGACGGCGAGATGGGACTGTTGCATCCATTCTCACGCCTTCAAATTGGGCTTCCCCATCAAACTACCTTCAAATATTTTCACCAGCATCCGATGGATCCTGTGGATTTCGTATTCAAGGCAGTCTTATCTGCATCCCCTTCTCTTACTCCAAACTACGTACTCATGGTTATTCACGGAGCTGCCAAACACCTCGGTTTTTGGAGACCCGGCGGAGAGAATTCTTGGACTGTCATAGAAACCCGTGATTTCCTGTACGAGGATGTTATTTATTACAAGGGCCAATTTTATGCATTAAGTAATCAAGGCTCCATTTTTGTTTGGGACGTTGGGGGTCCTAATCCAACGGTGGCGCGAAGAGTTGGAGGAATAAAAAGTGAATTGCTTTGGTATATGCAGCCCTACCTGGTTGAATCGGGTGCAGAATTATTGGTGGTTGCGCGATATGTAATACATCCAGGTGACGACACAGACCCAACTTATGAGACCACTTCCTTTAAAGTGTATGAGGTTGATTTGAGCAAGGAGGCGAGATGGAAAGAGATTAACAATTTGGGGGGAAGAGCACTCTTCTTGGGTCACAGTGCTTCCATCTCTGTTGATGCCTCTAGGTTTTTCCCAGCAATCAAGCCCAATTGTATATATTATACTGACGATTATATGGACATGTACACATACCAAGTTGACAACAACCCAGGAGGTGGGAAGGACATGGGTGTTTACAACTTGGAAGATGGAGGCAAGGAACCACTCAACTACAAAGGAGAATCCCTTAGTTATACTTGTCCTCCAGCTTGGGTCTTGCCTTCTTTCTGAAGTGCTTGTTTCTCTGTTACTCGCTCTTGTGGAGGACGATCATGTCCTCTTTTTAAGTTGTTAACTTTAGCCAGCCCTTTTTCGATTAATTTGTGTTTTTTCTGTTTTGTTTCTAGTCTAGATTTTGCAAGGGCCCTGGATTGTATTGGATAGTTATTTAAATTATTTGTTATTATCAGTGTCTTTAACTTGTTTGCTCGCAATTCAGTTCTATTTTTGTTTGAATACCGTGAAACAAAGACTTGATAGGTAGGATTGTTCTGTTCAGTTCTATTTCTAGATTTTTATTTTTATGATGATTGTTTTAGCTGGTCTTGCATGGAAGGATTGATTGGTAGGCAGTGGCTTTTATAGTTCCAACTTCAAAATCTAACAACAAATTTGAAACAAGATTGTATAGGAGCAACTCAGTTTTCTGGAGGGCTTTCCTAGGAGTCTCCCGAAGGTATCATATTTCTTTGGTTTCATTTGCGCTTTATAAAGACTGATGGTTGACAATTGCATTTGCTGTTAGTTGGGGTTAGGTCCTACAGAATACTGTTATGTCTGTGCTTGGAAATTCTGACCTGATTGAATAAGGGTTTCTTTTTCTTCTGACCCGAAGCTTTTCACATTTTAAACAAGATTACATAACGGCAGCTGCATTTTTTGACTAGATTTTGAAAATTGATAATACGATTTAATTTAGTTCATTATTGATGGAAAAATATATCGACCCATCTTTTCTCTTTTTTGTCTCCTTCAAAGACACCATCTATCGTCTAAAGTTAATGACAGAATAGTAATTTAATTGAAAATGGCTCAGAAGAGGATATCAGGTTGAACTTGTCTGTACTTGTCTTTGTAAAGTAATTAGAAGGATTAGGTTTTATAAATGTCTATTGAAGTTTGTTAGCGTGTCATAATGTGTTATAGTACTATGTTACTACCAAACATTGTGTTTGGTACTGATGGTTGTATTTGCTGGTTCTATTCTGTGTGCAGATCACTTCGACCACTGAGAACCAAGGGTTAGATTCTACAAAATAGTGTGCTTTGATATTTGAATAATGGTAAACACCATATCTTTGGTTTTCTCCTGTAACATGCTGAACTTCTTTACATTTGAAACTGAATTTCACTGATTTTAGGTGATGAGGAAAGTACAAATATGTCATACTTTTCCTTCTGAGGATCATTAAGTCTGTATAAAGTTATCTGATATGAATTTTAAATTAACTGTCCTCTTCAACCTTGTTCAGCTTAAAATTTCTAATAACAAGATGAAATTTATTGATCCGTTTTTCCAGAACAAATATAGTTTCTCAGAAGTTGATTTTTCAAAAATTATGACCATTTTTTTTTTGCTTCTAACTGTAATGAAATTCTTATTTCAAATTTTGTTACTTTGGCCAACTTATAAGTGAAATAAGAATGTCATTAGTACTGGGAACCAAGGGTTAGATTCTGCAAAATAGTGTGCTTTGATATTTGAATAATGGTAAACACCATATCTTTGGTTTTCTCCTGTAACATGCTAAACTTCTTTACATTTGAAACTGGATTTCACTGATTTTAGTTGATGAGGAAAGTACAAATATGTCATACTTTTCCTTCTAAGGATCATTAAATCTGTATAAAGTTATCTGATATGAATTCTAAATTAACTGTCCTCTTCAACCTTGTTCAGCTTAAAATTTCTATTAACAAGATGAAATTTATTGATCCGTTTTTCCAGAACAAATATAGTTTCTCAGAAGTTGATTTTTGAAAATTATGACCTTTTTTTTTTTTGGTTCTAACTGTAATGAAATTCTTATTTCAAATTTTGTTACTTTGGCCAACTTATAAGTGAAATGAGAATGTCATTAGTGCTGAGAATTTTTTTTTTTTTATGTTAGTGTATTTTTTGAAGCTGAGAAAAATCTCATTAGTGTCTTTCTCATGAGAATTTGGAATAAGTAGTGTGGTTGTGGAGCTGAGAAAAATGGGAAAGTTGAGAGCTTATTTCTTTAGATCCTCTCTTTAGGTAGTGTTTGGTTCACTGGAATGGAATGGTCATTCATTCCATCAAAATATCTATTCCTATGTTTGGTTGACTAAAAAAATAAAGAAAAATGCATTGCAATTGGAATCGTCATTCACCATTGTAAAGAAATGCTCATTCCATAGGTGAATGATCATTCCATTCCATCTCATTCCTATGAACCAAATGGAGCATTAGGCTTTCCCCATTTGATCCTCCCATTTTCCCCCAATTTCTCTCAATTTCCATTGCTAGAGGAGCTCAGGAAAATAGTTTCCAATGTTATGAATTGAGATATCAATTTTGTCTTTCGTGTCTCACAAATAGGTTACTTTGAAACTTCTACGGATGATAATATTTTCATTCCATCAAAATATATATTCCTATGTTTGGTTGACTAAAAAAATAAAGAAAAATGCATTACAATTGGAATCGTCATTCACCATTGTAAAGGAATGATCATTCCATAGGTGAGCTTAAGGAATGATCATTCCATTCCATCTAATTCCTATGAACAAAACGGAGCATTAGGGTTTCCACATTTGATCCTCCCCTTTCCCCCCAATTTCTCTCAACTTCCATTGCTAGAGGAGCTCAGGAAAACAGTTTCCGTTGTGAATTGAGATACCAATTTTGTCTTTCGTGTCTCACAAATAGGTTGCTTCAAAACTTCTATTTTAGACCTTTTAAACACTAGTTGAAGACCAAAAAATATTCTCTAGCCCATATTCCCGGGTGTACCCTACATCCCATGTCCTGTAATTTGCGAAACTTTAAAATTACCTGACTAGTTAAACCTATTAAAAAGACATTAGATCCATCCAATTACATAATAAATTGAAATAAACACAAATGAAATCCTCCAATTGTGTAGAGAGCTTGATAACAAGAATAAACATGTTCTGTTACTAATCAACAGATGGATCAGTTCACTGCAAATAAAATGCAACAGATGTTATAGATCACATATGGATCAGTTTGCTGACAGCGACAGAGGAGATAGAATTGATGCAAGTTATTAGTTCAAACCTAGAAACTTAAAGGCCTCTTGATCTTGAGCAGATAGTAACCACCAATAAAATCAGCCTCACTAAAATTTGTGTGGAAGTTAATTCAAATACACTTTTGGTGATAGTGTAGTAGTAAAAGGTAAATATCAATGGGGACCCCTTGTCTGAATAAAATGCCAAACCTTTGGGCATATTGAGATAAATTCACGGAGGCAGTATTGAAGTGGTGGAAACTAAGAGTGTTGATTGGAGAGAGCTCCTGTAATAAGGGTGGTGTTAAGTCGGTGGGACATGAGAAGTGCTCCTCCATCTAGGGAAGAAAACATTAAGGAAGCCTGGAAAACAAGATCCACAACCTGAGTTTATCTGGAGACAGTTATTGCATACCTTTACATCCAGCCCAAGAAATCATGCCGAAAACCTTTAAATAAATCCAGTAGGTCAAAGAATGGGGGTTAGTTTTTGTTTAGTTTGTTTGTTGTTTTACCTTCGCTCTGGAGTTGTGACAGTTGTATATTTGCCTTTACTTTTGAGTTTTCAAGTGTGTGTATGTTTTGTGGCTACCCTTTTTGGCTTGTAAGAGGATGCCCTAAAGAAATGCTGTAATTTACTACAATGAGGTTTAGTTGCTTGTTTTTCATGCCTGTTCTCATATTTTTCTGTTGTCTTGTATGCTTGGAATTCAATGTGGTTCAATGTAGTTACAGGGAGACATGCATGAAACAATTAGGATACATCAATTTGGTAAATTCGAGTTTGTTACATAAAACCAAAATTTGGGAGCTGTTTTATTATTAGAAGGTTGATGATACATGCATCTCATCAAAGTAGAGCTAATCCCAGTTGGGTTCATAGGAAATTTCAACACTTGGAGGTTATTGAATGGTTGTTTCTTCTGCCAAAACTCTAGAAACATGTCCTGAGAATTTTAGAGAGAGAGAGAGAGAGAGAGAGAGAGAGAGAGCAAATCTGAACATCAGAGTTCCAAAGCTCCTTTCATCATTCAGTATTAGCAAAGAAGTTCTCCAGGGTAGGGGCAGACAACGACGATGACGTCTTCAAAGTATCACTTGCTTTGCATTGCTTCTCAAACATTATCAGGAGATATCTCCTTTGCTCTTATATTCTCAGCTGTAGATTATTTCTTTGAATCTGCAAAAAATAAAAAATAAAAAAGAAAAGAAAAAAAAAGTGACAAAAAAAAATCAGTATCCATAAATAATAGATGGCTATGGCAACAAGAGCCACCAATTTCCAACTATCATGGTTGCAACAAGGCCATCGGTCGGTAATTTCTAATGACTAAATGACAAACATCCATTTACTAGGGACATCAAAGGAAATGGTATTTTAAAGTTTAGAAAGATCGTTCTCAGTGATATGGATTAAGGGGGTTCTTGCATTTCTATATGTTGTTCTTGAGGAAGATGTATGAGATTCTTCAAGGAAAAAAATAAAAAGAAAAAGGTACCTGCCTATAAATTATCTTCAATGGCTCAAGAAATTTATTTTTAACTTTTAAAATTTTGTTACTCAACAAGGAGACTGCATGCAACTAGAATGGCTAACCAAATGAGTACCACAGTGAAAAAAAAAGAAAATTCATGAACTAAAAAAATGCTTAAAGACTAGAAAGAGAAAGGAAAACAAGGTCAAATAATAAGCCAGTTTGGAATGGAGAAACAAATTCAAGGTGCCTTGTGTCTTGATTTCTGTAATTTCATTTTTTGTGATAACTATTAAAAATGAGCAAAACAAACCCTAATGGCTGGTTTTCAAGGCATGCATCAAGCTGCTAACAAGTCAGCAGCAAGCTTCAAATAGATCTAATATTGGGAGCATTAAATTTTTTCTACTAGTTTTATTTCCAGTAAACTGCAATCAGGATCAAGAAGTGACAAATCAAATAAAAATAAAATCCATTTATCAAAACAAATCCATACCTCTAACTGCTCATGCAAGCGCTTTTGGACTCCCATCTGTAATCGTATTGCTTCAGTGAGCTCAATACCCCTGCCCACATATAAGTTAAGAGGTCTGAATAAATCCAGTCTAGCAATCCATATGGGAAACAACCTGATACTGAATTTGAACTAGTAGGTTAAGTTGCATCAAGAGGCAAAAAGCTTCGAAGGCATTGAGAGAGAGAGAGAGAGAGAGAGAGAAATTACGGCCATTTTTTTTGGTTCTAATTGTAATAAAAATTCTTATTTCAAATTTTGTCACTTTGGCCAACTTATAAGTGAAATGAGAATGTCATTAGTGCTGAGAATTTTTTTTTTTTTATGTTAGTGTATTTTTTGAAGCTGAGAAAAATCTCATTAGCGTCTTTCTCATGAGAATTTGGAATAAGTAGTGTGGTTGTGGAGCTGAGAAAAATGGGAAAGTTGAGAGCTCATTTCTTTAGGTTCTCTCTTTAGGTAGTGTTTGGTTCATTGGAATGGAATGGTTATTCATTCCATCAAAATATATATTCCTATGTTTGGTTGACTAAAAAAATAAAGAAAAATGCATTACAATTGGAATCGTCATTCACCATTGTAAAGGAATGATCATTCCATAGGTGAGCTTAAGGAATGATCATTCCATTCCATCTAATTCCTATGAACAAAACGGAGCATTAGGGTTTCCACATTTGATCCTCCCCTTTCCCCCCAATTTCTCTCAACTTCCATTGCTAGAGGAGCTCAGGAAAATAGTTTCCAATGTTATGAATTGAGATATCAATTTTGTCTTTCGTGTCTCACAAATAGGTTACTTTGAAACTTCTACGGATGATAATATTTTCAAGGACTTGCGTGCAGATCTTATTAAGTGGATTTATTGTCTAATAGGTCTTATGATAATTAATGACATTTTTCATCATACACTATTAAAAAACATCACTAATTGTTAATTTTTAGCAACAGTTAATTATAAATTTTAATGACAGTTTAAAAGAAATCGTCACTAATTTTTAACTTTCAACTACAGTTTTAAAAATTTATCACGGAAAAACGTCACTTATTGTAAATTTTAGCGACAATTTATAAAAACTGTGATAAAAAAAATGTCACTAATTGTCCATTTTTAGCGACGTGTACAAAATCGTCACAAAAAAATTATTTTTAACGACAATTGTATTAGGATTTATTTTCAATAGGACTTGATGAGAATTAGGTCCATCTATTAAGACCTATTAATAGTTTTCCCTAATATTATTTTAGACCTTTTAAACACTAGTTGAAGGCCAAAAAATATTCTCTAGCCCATATTCCCGGGTGTACCCTACATCCCATGTCCTGTAATTTGCAAAACTTTAAAATTACCTGACTAGTTAAACCTATTAAAAAGACATTAGATCCATCCAATTACATAATAAATTGAAATAAACACAAATGAAATCCTCCAGTTGTGTAGAGAGCTTGATAACAAGAATAAACATGTTCTGTTACTAATCAACAGATGGATCAGTTCACTGCAAATAAAATGCAACAGATGTTATAGATCACATATGGATCAGTTTGCTGACAGCAACAGAGGGGATAGAATTGATGCAAGTTATTTGTTCAAACCTAGAAACCTAAAGGCCTCTTGATCTTGAGCAGATAGTAACCACCAATAAAATCAGCCTCACTAAAATTTGTGTGGAAGTTAATTCAAATGCACTTTTGCTGATAGTGTAGTAGTAAAAGGTAAATATCAATGGGGACCCCTAGTACGAATAAAATGCCAAACCTTTGGGCATATTGAGATAAATTCACGGAGGCAGTATTGAAGTGGTGGAAACTAAGAGTGTTGATTGGAGAGAGCTCCTGTAATAAGGGTGGTGTTAAGTCGGTGGGACATGAGAAGTGCTCCTCCATCTAGGGAAGAAAACATAAAGGAAGCCTGGAAAAGAAGATCCACAACCTGAGTTTATTTGGAGAGAGTCATTGCATACCTTTACATCCAGCCCAAGAAATCATGCCGAAAACCTTTAAATAAATCCAGTAGGTCAAAGAATGGGGGTTAGTTTTTGTTTAGTTTGTTTGTTGTTTTACCTTCGCTCTGGAGTTGTGACAGTTGTATATTTGCCATTACTTTTGAGTTTTCAAGTGTGTGTATGTTTTGTGGCTACCCTTTTGGGCTTGTAAGAGGATGCCCTAAAGAAATGCTGTAATTTACTACAATGACTAATGGTGTAATTTTTACCCTAGAGAAAATGGCGCTGCCATAGGGTCTGAATTGAAGAGAATGATCCAAATGACCTCATTACAAACCTGATTTCCAAATTAATACAAAAGAGAAGAGAAAGTTCCAACTCTCTAATGAAGGTTCATATGTGAAAATAATGAAAATATGAAATTTTTTGAAGACATTGGCAAATTCAAATAAGAAAATCCAAGCATTTACCCAATAGGCGAGATTCAGTCTATGTATCTCAAAAACTAGATCAAGGAATAAAATTACCTGGGATTAAATTCATAGCATGCAGCAAAAAGAACTATAAACACAAGCTTATTATTGTATTCCATATGTGAAAAGCACTGATTAGCAAGGTAATGGACTAGCCTTCTGAGGGGTTTAAAACTGACCCCAAGCCAGCAACTGAAACGAGGGAAAGCATTAGCATAGTATATTTATGCCCAAGAAGGGGGAGGGGAGGATATGGACCAGGATTCTGGTTATGTTAGGACAGTTTTAGATAGGTTGGCTACTTTTAAAAATGAGGTTTAGTTGCTTGTTTTTCATGCCTGTTCTCATATTTTTCTGTTGTCTTGTATGCTTGGAATTCAATGTGGTTCAATGTAGTTAGAGGGAGACATGCATGAAACAACTAGGATACATCAATTTGGCAAATTTGAGTTTGTTACATAAAACCAAAATTTGGGGGTTGTTTTATTATTAGAAGGTTGATGATACGTGCATCTCATCAAAGTAGAGCTAATCCCAGTTGGGTTCATAGGAAATTTCAACTCTTGGAGGTTATTGAATGGTTGTTTCTTCTGCCAAAACTCTAGAAACATGTCCTGAGAATTTTAGAGAGAGAGAGAGAGAGCAAATCTGAACATCAGAGTTTCAAAGCTCCTTACATCATTCAGTATTAGCAAAGAAGTTTTCCAGGGTGGGGGGCAAACAACGACGATGACGCCTTCAAAGTATCACTTGCTTTGCATTGCTTCTCAAACATTATCAGGAGATATCTCCCTTGCTCTTTTATTCTCAGCTGTAGATTATTTCCTTGAATCTGCAAAAAATAAAAAATAAAAAGAAAAGAAAAGAAAAGAAAAAAAGTGACAAAAAATCAGTATCCATAAATAATAGATGGCTATGGCAACAAGAGCCACCAATTTCCTACTATCATGGTTGCAACAAGGCCATCCGGCGGTAATTTCTAATGACTAAATGACAAACATCCATTTACTGGGGACATCAAAGGAAATGGTATTTTAAAGTTTAGAAAGATCGTTCTCAGTGATATGGATTAAGGGAGTTCTTGCATTTCTATATGTTGTTCTTGAGGAAGATGTATGAGATTCTTCAAGGAAAAAAAGAAAAAGAAAAAGGTACCTGCCTATAAATTATCTTCAATGGCTCAAGAAATTTATTTTTAACTTTTAAAATTTCGTTACTCAACAAGGAGAGTGTATGCAACTAGAATGGCTAACCAAATGAGTACCACAGTGAAAAAAAAGGAAATCCATGAACTAAAAAACTGCTTAAAGACTAGAAAGAGAAAGGAAAGCAAGGTCAAATAATAAGCCAGTTTGGAATGGAGAAATGAATTCAAGGTGCCTTGTGTCTTGATTTCTGTAATTTCATTTTTTGTGATAACTATTAAAAATGAGCAAAACAAACCCTAATGGCTGGTTTTCAAGGCATGCATCAAGCTGCTAACAAGTCAGCAGCAAGCTTCAAATAGATCTAATATTGGGAGCATTAAATTTTTTCTACTAGTTTTATTTCCAGTAAACTGCAATCAGGATCAAGAAGTGACAAATCAAATAAAAATAAAATCCATTTATCAAAACAAATCCATACCTCTAACTGCTCATGCAAGGGCTTTTGGACTCCCATCTGTAATCGTATTGCTTCAGTGAGCTCAATACCCCTGCCCACATATAAGTTAAGAGGTCTGAATAAATCCAGTCTAGCAATCCATATGGGAAACAACCTGATACTGAATTTGAACTAGTAGGTTAAGTTGCATCAAGAGGCAAAAAGCTTCGAAGGCATTGAGAGAGAGAGAGAGTGTGTGTATGTGTTTGTGTACCAAAATCCTTTTAAAAAAATTAAAACAAAAAACATAAAACGAGCTAATACTTGTCATAAAAAATGCAAGGCAATGCAAATCAAACAGTGGCATGCAGTAACAAGTCATTAGAATGTGTCGCCATCAGTGGTGAAATAATTCCACAAGCTACAATGCACCACCAATCTTGACCAAGAAATTTGTGTAAACTACTTGAGCTACTTTAGATGGAAAGAGTAGCTACTTAATTCCTGGTTAAAACACATCTCAAGGCAAAGATATAATTCCGGGTTCCCCATACATACATTGTAAAGTTGAATGCATATCACTTAACTGAGACAAGAAAAACTTATTAATAAAAATTATAAACCATGTATCTTTTCCCAACTTCATAAAACTGCACATCACCTCTAACGTTCACCATAATCAAGTCAAAATAGCAAAACATTTTAATTTCCCCATTAATATTTAGAAATGTAAAAGCATGTCTAAGTTATTCAATAATCCAGGCAACAATAGGTGAATGACAGTCTCTAGAAATCTAAATGAGTCACAACTACCAGATGCATCAATACTTCAAAGATGTACGATATCTAATTCCCTTCAAGCACAAGAAGAAAATGCTGCGTTGCAAGATAGATATACATCTAAGTGCATCCAAGTCAATCTACTTACGTTTTCAAGTCCAGAGATGCGACTTCCTCAATGCAGGTAAACTTTTTCTCTGAAGATCCTGCAAATCAAGAAAATGACTAGCTTAATATGGTACTGCCACAGCTCGTACACTTTTTCACCATTGTTAGGTCCATGAGGTAAAGAATTCAAGATAACTACCGAAGTAAAAATTAGATTTAGGCCTAGAAATTTGAGCCAGGAAAAAAAAAGAAAGAAAGAAAGAAGTCTGAGGGAAGGAGTTGACTTGCAAAGACAATTAGCATTTCATGACAGAGTACTGAGACTCAAGTAACCGTGAAACACACAACCATAAGCATCACAACAAATGCCAATAAAATTGACAGTGGAAAAAAAGAAAGATAATATAAGAAATCAGTGTATTAAAGATCTACATCACGCAGTAAGTTACAAAAAAGGGAAAGCAAACTCAGCAAACAGGGAGATGAATAATCACAAGAAAACACAAAATGAATTACTGCACAGTGAAAGTTTTGAAAAACAGGAACGGAGCCAAAAAGGATCTCATAATTTTAGGGGCAAATGAGGTTAAGAAGTACTGTAAGGTGAGAAGAGTCACACACTCTCACTGCCACCAAGTTTATTGACTGCTTCAGCAAAGGCCTCAGGTGTCCAACACATGCGCATTTTGGTTGGACCACCACTTGCTCAGGATGTGGAGTTAAAAGCATGAGGAGAATCCTCAAATGGAGCTGAAATCTGCTGGAGTACTTTGGACTGTTGTTCCGAATAATTTGTTACCTACAATAACACAATAAGGACACAACAATACAAATTAACACACTTTCCATTTTGTTAACAAAAATGTGTGAAAAACGTGAAATGCTTTCTTAAGATTCTTCTTTCCTGAGGAGATTCTAACCTTTAGCTCAGGATCTTCAACAATGTTATCAAAATTACATTCAAATCAGAATTCAATGAATCATCATCATTTATTAGGTCAACCCAATCCTGCCAATCATTTTGTTTACTAAGGTCTTCAGTTGCCATGGCACAACCACCATTCATGCTGCTTCCAATTTGAATTTTCCTGCTAGAAGTATTTACAGGATAATCAAAGAAATCTGCTAATGAATCTGTAGACAAGGAATAACTTTTGCTTGATGCTACAGATTGGAGCATCGTAGAATGACAAGGAGCTAGTGGCATTGATGCCCCAGCATTTGTTGAAAAGGGAGACTTTCTTGAATGCTTTTCAGGAGGTGCAATGGAGGAAAGATAAAGATCATTGAAGTATCCTGAGGTAGATGAGAACATAGGACCAACAACCCTGCTGTTCGAGAGAAAAGACGAGTGAAGAGATGGAGAATTTGTATTCAGTTCTCTCTCCATGAAAACCTGTTGAGCGTTGGGCAACTTAGGATATTTCTCTTCCAAGATGGAAGGAAGAACAGGCAAGGCTGATGAAAGAGCTCCTTGAAAAATGATACTTGAAACCTACAACAAAAGGAAGGTAAATCATACTATTATTATTACTTCTCTAAGGATACAGAAGAAAACACAACACATGAAAAATTTGACACTCAAAATTATGCCTATAACACCTATGAATTCGTTAGAATGAATTGTTGCACAATACAAGTTCCTCTGTCATAGGTATAGAGAATAGACTACAGAGCATTTGCACTGTGCATATTTTCAAAAGTTACCACAGATCATTTGCACTGCACATAGCTTCAAAAATTACTATACAAAACCTTCTTCATACCTCTAAAATTTAATTATTTCTTCTAATAACTAAGCCCTGATATAGAGCACTTGCAAGCGTCTTCCAAAGAACTGTATATGCCCGCAACGTTAGGGAAAAATATTGGAGAAAATCGAAGGAACCAAAGTCATAATGCATAGATTTTTACATAATACACCTCCAAATGATGATCATGCTATAAGAGAAGTGTCGACTTGCTAAAATGTAGGCCCAAACATGATTACACTGAAGATCTTAGCCGTAGAATGAATAAACATACCCCAAATCGTTTAAAGGATAAATTACACTTTTTCACCCTTGTAATTTGACCCAAATTTTACTTTATTATCTATGATTTCAATTTAAGCAATATTAACATTTAAAGACTGATAGTAACGTCACATCCTAGCAATAAAAGTCTTTACCCAACTCATAAATCACAACTTAACTAAACTCAAATTGTTCAAATGCCCCAATAATGGATCATTTCCACCACAAAGGTCCATCCAATGCATGAGTTAATCAAATGGCATGCAAATCAAAAAAAAAAAGAGTTTTTACAATCCCCATATATATATAAACTCATATATATATATATATATATAGAGAGAGAGAGAGAGAGAGAGAAGCCAATTCAATAGGGAACCAGTAAAGATGAGAAACAACAAAAATCGATGCAAACCCGAGATGGGTTATTCAGATTAACAATAACAAAGCAACGTACATCCAGAAACAACCATCTATAGAAAGCAAAATAAGCATAATCAGCAAATGGGTACACAAAATTCTTACATAAAATCAGAGAAACCTCAGAGATTGAGATCTAGAAATCACTCCATGCCGGACAATCAATACTCAGTGATTACAGGGTTGATGTTGTGTTGTCTACCAAGCAATAAAATATGAAAAATGTTTTACCACACTATTTCTCCCGCACAAACCCCCAGAATGATGTGGCAAGGAAAAGGTAAATTAATGACCCATGCTCCTACACTCCTCTCTTTTCTCAAAACCTTTTAGCCAACCTTGCCACGTCATTCATGGAGCTTGTGGGGGAGGATTTTGTGTGGATGTAGCACTACTGCTCTGCTAAATTTCAGTGAAGCCAATTGGTGAGATAATTATGTCCATGAAAAATGTAAGAATAACAAAATACTAGGGGAGCCTTTAACCCACTATACAGCTATACGCTTAAGTTCATAACCAATGCCTAAAATGGTCATGCAGGGTATGAGATATCAAGCAAACAAACATGTGAAAACCACAGACAAAAATAGACAATAATTGAAGTTCCAATGTCCGACTTGAAAACGAAGTATTCACCTATCTGAGAAAACCTAGAGAAAAAAAATATCAAATTTTCAAGCTTGCCAACATAATCATCAACATCACAGCAACTCACTGACTAACATCACATGGTCAAGTTCCTAATTCAGCAGTTGGAAGTGTTCATTGAAATATTTAACTATATTAACTGAAAACTGATAAATGCTCACTAAATGCAGCCCCCTAATAACAAGAATAAGTGACAAAGTTGTGTGATAACAGTCACATAAGCAACATGCAACATGCACAATAAATAAATTCAAAATTATAAAACATTAGCAGTGGTGGAAGTGTGAAATTTACTGGCCTAAGCATACATAGGCCAGCTGGTTCAAGCTGGGGTGAGGACTGACCAGGTTCAGCCCCAATTGAGAATGACTTCTCCAAGATCGAGTTCAGACCGTTTAGATATTGGTCCACTCTGCCCAAACTCAACTCAGTGTCAGTGAAAGTGTGAGGTGCACTTAAGCCCAAAGGCCTTTAAAAGCCTAACTGCAATCGCACAGCTAATTAAAGTATGGCACACTTTTTATAAAAATAATGTACAACAAAAAATTATGCATAATAAGTTTTTAAAAAATCAAATAGATATATATTTAGCCTTTCAAACTCAAATGGTTATGGTCTTGTGCAATTGTTCAAAAGTCGTTGGCACAAATTTTACATAGGCTTCTTCAATTTCTTAAAATTCTGAGTAAATTTGAAAACAATTGTTAATGACTTGTATGACAGTCACTTGACCAACCAATCATATACATTTAAACATAGCTTTTATATTATTTCTCTAGTGCTTTACAAAATTTTCACAACCCTAACATTTGATAGCCATTATCAAAACAAATTACATTGTTGAATCAAAATATACCCAAAAGGTAAAGACCAAAGTAATAGCTTCTATGCTTAACATAAGCAATGCCATACAATCCTAAAGAGTACAATCATCATCCTCATTAAGCACAAGATCATCACCGTCATTACATATCCATTGTTCAATCAAGAAACTACTATTCTGCCAAGTAAGGAAAAGAAGAACAACCTCCAAAGCAGCATTGGCATCTCGGATAGCAGCATTGGGCTTCTTAATTTTGATGGACGCGCTAGCTGTAAGAAATTACAGAAATTTTTATACGTCAAATATAAGAACATAAACACAAAACATAGACAGAGATAAGGAGGATGGAGTGGAAGAAAGCACCCCTCTCTTTGTTTTTCTCCCTCCCTTCTCTTTTGACAATAATTTTGTATCAATTAAAAAACTTTGAATTTGAAGTTTTAAACAAGCTACATGTCCACTTGTGTACTTATTTTTTGATTTCCTCTTCCGTTTTCCATTGATTTGTACAATTCCAATCTATAACTCAGACATTCACACATATATTATACATACACACATAACAGGCATGTCTATACTATATACCACTTGCCACGAAAAAATGTATGCATTTTATATATACATGTAATGAGAATTGTTTAAAAAGTGCAAGAAAAATAAAAAAATAAAAAAAACAAATAGATGCAAGGGTTGACAGTAGACAAGCATAAAGGTGCTTTGTTGAAATAGAGTAAGGACAACTGAGAAATGTGAAGGAAATAAATTTTGCAGAAAATAGAGGCTTTAATGAAGCAACAGAATATGCTAAAAGTATACGAAGTCATAAAGCAAGGCAGGCAGAATAATTTTTGCAATTTGGAGACTCTTAAGTATTTCAAGTTTCAACTGCGACAAACATCACGTGAAAAGCCACCACTGCCGCACTGGCGAGTAAGAAGTTGTTCCATAACCTCCCCAGTTGATATAAACATAATTGGATTCAATTTAGTGATAGATACGGATGCGTCAAAACCAAAAAAGAAAACAAGAAAAAGGGTAGTAAAGAACCTATTTATTTTATTCTTAAAATTTATTTATTTTTATTTTGATGTAAGTGTGATGTGTGTGTGAGTGATGTGTCAGAGAGAGGGAGAGAGTGTGTGGTGTGGCTGTGAGTGAGTGAGTGCGTGGTTTGTGATATAAACTGGTCGTGAACTCGTGGTTCACAACCACGAGTTCAGACACAGTTTTGTTTAAAAGCGTGATTAGAAATCACGTTTTTTGAAAAAAAAAAAAAATCTAAGCGTGATTAGGAATAACGTTTTCTTAATACGAGTTTAAAAGAAAAAAATTTTTGGATAAAATCGCGTTTTATAACCGCGATTTCTTAATCAAAATCGCTTTTTGTAACAACGAATTTAAGATTTACCAACTTTCACGCGAAACGGAAAAAAATTTGTTGAACTCGCGATTGTGAACCGCGAGTTAGCTTATTCTGGGAATTCTTTCAAAACTAGGCTTAGTTTGGGAATTCCTTTACTATTTTAGCTTATTTATGGAAATGGTCCGGCCATGCTCCTTACGCCAATGATCGTCTCGTGCGGCCTTCGTAGAAAACATGTTGTGGCATATACCACATTCAACATGCTCATCCTTGTGTGGCCTGTGATTATGATTTTGAAGCCCAAGAATGCGCTCAAAACTTTTAGTGCAGGAATAACAGCAGTAATGTTCTCCATAACATCATCTATTTCAAATAAGAAACCAAAATTAAAATCAAGACCAAGAAATAACAAATAAATGTCAATTTAGACACTCAGAACCTTTAAATTGTTACAATAGATGTAGAAGAAGAAGATCACATTTGCTAGTAAAGCAATAATTTTATTCTCTGACATGAATTCCATATAAAAATTTCACATTTTGCTTGAATCATAATTTCTAGTATTTCTACATAATTTGCAACACCTCATCGTGTATATGACACATCCCATACCCATATCCATCCAATATTCTAAAATTGAAATTTATGAAGGTCTCGAACTCGAGTCCATGTAATATAACATGAAATTAAATACATCACACATTATAAGTTCATCAATTTCTTGAATCAAAACTATATATACAAGAACACAGACAAGAACAGAGCGTACTGATGATGCAGGACTGCAGATTAAATGGTTGAAGACACACTACTGATGATGATGATGAAGATGAGAATGACTGCGTAAATGAGAGAGAGAGAGAGAGAGAGAGAGAGAATGACAGTGCGTAAATGAGTTAGAGAGAGAAAAAGAGAGAGAAACGAGAGATGATGGACGAGGGACGAGAGACGAGAGACAGGGTATATACTTTGGTGGGCGGGAAATTCAGTTAGGGAATGAGCCGACTTAACACCTGGCGAAGGACAGTGCGCAAAGGATCTGCGGTACCTGCTGCGCCCCCAGCTGTGCTGCGTTATGTGCGTTATGGGTTCATTTCCGAATTCGTTTCGAATGTGAACCGTTCATATATTTTAGACATCCAATATAATACACCTGTAAAAAAATTAAGTTAATAAGTTATCATTAACGTTTTCATCCATTTATATTTATATTTATTTTAACATTTTAAATCATAATATAATTTTTTTTATAGATACAAATGTAAATAAATAAACAGATTAATAAAACATGATTCCAAACGTAAGTGCAAGATATCGCAAGTAATAATTTATCGAAAAATCTGAAGCCGATCTGTAGGGGCTTTTTTGGCTTTGTTTGGGAAGCAAAAGTTGGGACCAAACTTTCAAAGGAAACACACAAAAAACAAAATAATTTTTTTAAAAGTCATTACTAAATTAATAATTTTTTTATAAATATTAATATTAATAATCATAATTTTAATTTTAATTTTTTTTCATAAATGTCACTGGGTGCAATTATCCCCAACAAAAAATTGTCCCCAATGATACAGAGATACATACATCACACTTTAAAGAGAGTCGGTGCATGGATCTACACACTCACCGTTGGCAATTAATTTGGTTTCAGTTAACTATTGATCTTGAATAGCCACACTACCAGAGTAAACTCAATGTTTTACATATTTTGGCGACAAGCAGTTAAAAATTTTAAAATTATGCCATTTTGATTAATATTTGGATAAATTACACTGACAACTTTTGAGATTTTCACTAAATATATTAATACTCTTGAAAAATTACATTTCTATTATTAGGGTTTAAAGTCGTATTATAAATTAGGGGTCTTTGGTGAAAGTTCCCTAATAACCAAAGCTCCTTGTAAAAAGGATATGAGCGGTAGATTTTCACCATGAAGGATACACGGATGACACATTACCAAAAGGAAAGTGCTTCTCTCTAGTACATTTCACTTTGTGGAGGGGGATTTTTTTTTTAATGTCCTTAAGATTTTATAAGATAATGGCCATACAATATTTTCATAGTAGTTAAGGTCCCTAGGCATCTTCATAGATAAAATTTCCCGACTTAGAGAAATTTGGCCTCAACTCAAAGAAATTTCAATTTTCACGGGGAATTTTCTCTGTGAAAATTGAAATTTTCTCTGAGTCAGGACCGAAATTTCTCTGAGTATAATGAAATTTTTTTGAGTCGGACAATACTTTCTCACACATCAGCCACCCATCTAAGCTCAGGAGACGGGAGTACTCTCTCACCCACTTCAACACAGCCTAAGCAAAAACATATGGGTGTACATATATAATGGAGGTTAGATTTCTACATTATTTTAATTGATGTAAATTTGTGTCATTTATACCTACCTCTTCAAGGATTGTGGTAGCCCAAATGGGTATAGCAATGGAAGGTATAGTTTGTAATAGAAGCCAAAGATATAGAGATACATACATACACACTTATAAAGAGATTCAATGCGTAGGATCTACACACTCACTCTCTCTCCATGGATATGTGCCTATCTTTTCTCTTACAAAAATGAGGGAGTAGATTGTGAGTTGACTATTCAGTAACAAATTATGTTGGCAATTAATTTGGTTTTTAGTTAACTATTTGTCTTGAATAGCCATATTAATAGAGTAAAGTTCATGTTTTAGATATTTTGGCAACAAGCAGTGTAGCACTTATATCCTTTAAACTATTGAAAAGTGTTTTTGAATCCTTTATGTTATTTTGGGAATCCATGGAGTTGTTGTATCTTGGTTTTGGAGGAGTAGAATTTGATTTAGACTTGTTAAGATTGTTCGTTCACTCTTGATTTTGTCAAAAAGTTCTTTGGGAACTTGGAGATTATGTTCTAGTGTCGACACTAGCCTTCTTGGGGGTTGACAACATCTTGTTGCCTTACTCTTGGTGTCTTTACTGGTTTATAGGGTCGATACCACGGATTCTGGTGTCAACCCTTGTCTGCTGCTGAATCTGAAATTGGCTATTGAAATTTGGTGTTGGCAACACGGGTCTGAGGGTCGACACCTTGTCTGTTGCCAACATTGGTGTTTTTGTTATTTCTTCTTGAGAGTCAACACCACCGACTTGAGGGTCGACCCCTGTGTGTTATTTCCAGATTTTTGGTCGGCTTGGGCCCTACTTTTTGGGAACTTTTGACTTGTTCTTTTCATTTGACTTTGGAACTATTATTCTATTATTATCTAGCCACAATAAATCGGCTCCAAAACACTCCTTCCTCATTATTTTTTTTTCTCTTTCCTTCTCTTTTCCTCTTTTCACCGTGAATCTCTCTCTCTCTCTCTCTCTCTCTCTCTCTCTCTCTCAACTCAAACTTTTTCATATAGATCTCTAGATTTACTTGGTTAGAGACATTTTTTCACCTTGTTCCTTTGAGAAATGTTGTAGATCTTGTTAAGGGCTTTCTATTGATCCAAGAAGTTCGTGGTTTCGTTGACGTTGAGTTTTTCGAGTTTTCCTCTTCTACACTCGAAGTAAGGATTTCTTGCTCATTTTCAATACTTCATCTATAGATAGATATGTGGTAGATTTTTATTGCATAAAAACCATGTATATTGGAGTTCTTTTTGAAAAATCATATGAGAGATATCTAGGGTTTGTTACTTGGGTTGGAAATCGTTACATAGATTGTTGTTTGGGTTCTTTAGGGAGTAGTTTAGCATGTTGATGTTGAGAAGGAGAAAAAGATCTAATTTAATATTATAGACTTAATGGATTAAAAAGGGAAAAAGTTGTGTAATGTTTTGTGCTTTGATTATATGGATTGTGTTATTGTGTTGAGAGTAAAAAAGAAGAATTAACCATGGTATTAGAATTATTCTAGATTAATCATGTTAAGTTGAGTTG